CTGTTTCCTTCCCCCCAGGCATAAAGTTTACACCGACAGCGGCAATTTATATCTAATAAACACAACACGCTCGCCCGTGAAGCACCTGCGAGTACACGACAAATTACCGCGAGCCGAGAGAGTTATGGACGGGATTTCCCGCCAGTAGGGTTACCCTGGGGACGAGACCCGGGCCCGCGGAACCGTACCGACTTCCCTCCGTCACCATGGTTACGATGAGGTAGCGGCTCAGTCAACTGTCAAAGCACGTCAGACGCCGCTGTCAATCAAACACAGCGGGGCTCCCCAGGGAAATCACTCGGCCCACATAAATTGACCGTTAGTCTGACAGACGTAAACTCGGATGGATATTTGAACAGTTTCGCTGCGTGATGTATCCCTGACTTTATTTGGGAATATTGCCGTGAAGTATTTCGTCTTCGCCTGTCAAAAGCGACCGTAAGCCTTAGGATTTCACAGAGACAAAGTTTGGATGCCGAAATTGACGACGAGAATCAACTCAGAATATTTTCAGAACACCGAAATAACGTTATAGTCAGTTATCGACCGAAATCTAACTTATACTCGTATTTGGTTTATTTGCAAACTGAATTGATCAGAATTAATCGACAATACATAAATAAAAATTAAACTGATAGATAAATGCTGATTTTCCCTTTATTACTCATAATTTGAGATATCGGTGTCTTTGTGGAAGCATCAATTTTTAGCTAGCCTCTACCAGGCTTCAGAAGCGGCTGGAAAGAATAGAAATTGACCAAAATAGACAGATAACATGTCAGGGGAGTTGGTCCGCTAGAAGAGTACAGTTTTTCGCTTTGAGTGGACTAACTTCCCTGGCGCATGTTTTCTGTCTATGTGGCCGATTTCTACTCTTTCCAGCCACCTCTGATGCCTTGTACAGGCTAATAGTCAGCCGTGAACTTTGCAGTTACTAAAAAAAAAATAACCGCTCGAAGAGACTTTTAACGCTTATGATCTTAACACCAAAGATCCTCGTTTCGTTAGGCCATTTTGATTTGATTATATGGACGACATCCGCTCGCGCATGAATTTTTGTCCGTTTCCGAAAGAAAAAGTTTCGATCATACTGTAAATCGTACAAAATATATGTCATATGTTGCAAAAAAAGGATTGGAAAACGATACTAATGTCATAGAATGCCAAAATCAGTTCAGGAAAAGAAGAAAATGTAAAGAAATAAAAAAGAAGAGTATTATTATTCACCATACCGCACTCTGTGTGTTTAGTCATTTGTTCAATCTTTATGACCATGTGGATTTCATAATGAAGGGAATTTCTTTTTGCCAAACCCTTTTTATCCGCACGCTTGCGTCAGTTTTGGGGTTCCCAGAGGATGTCATCCATATACTAGTAGTCAAATCAACATGGTCTTACACTTGACGAAATTAGATACCTCACCATTAGACATATTGGGCAAATATTTCTAATGAAAAATCTAATTAGTTGCAAAATGATAACAGTAAGGAAATAAAAGTCAGACATGACACACAAATGTCTTCGCGGATGTTTGCTTCAATACCACTTTAGGCCACAGCAAGTAATTTTTATGGATCTGTATCTGTATCTGTATCTGTATAGCCGGTATAACCGCCTTTCGGCGTAACACACCAGCTTCGCAGGCACGCGGCGCGGCGGCAGCTGGCTATATTACACCGATCGACTTGTTACACCTAACCCTTGAACTTCTAGCTCTAGACATTGTTTAAAGCTATCTATTGACAGTGCTCCTACTGTACTTGGTGACAGTGAGTTCCACTCTGCGATAGTTCTAGGAAAGAATGAATTCTTGAACACCTCAATCCTTGGTTGATAACTTTGGTACTTGAATGCGTGGCTATTTCTTGTTCTCTTCTGAGCTGGTATTAGGTACTTAGTAGTTGGGACATCCACCAGTTTATTAGTCATTTTGTACATCATGCATAGTCTAGACATCTTTCTTCTGTCTTCAAGTGAGGTCCACTGTAGGTTTCTTTTCATTTCAGTGACACTAGCACCGCGCGTCAGCGCGCGCATTAATTTTCGCCTGACTTTGGGAAAAAAAAATGTGTTGCCTTCTGACAGTCGTCAACATGCCGAAAATTGACAAAGATGTCTGTTGCCATGCCGGAAGGTGGATGGCAGATAACTATGAAGAGAGGACACAAGAAAAGGCTCTGATTTGATGTTTTGTTTCTTACTTTGATGCAGTGATGTGTGATGCTGGCTGTGTATATGTGATGTTCCCACTGAATCAAAATCATTTGTACAATGATTGAGTCAAAATTTTAAAATGTAGGAACCTTGTTTTTTTCGGCCCACCTTGTTTTTTTTTCGCCCGCTCGCATTAGATTTGGAGTCTGCGGAGGATGTCATCCATAAAATTTACTTGCTGTGAACTTAACAGAATGTATAGAATTCATCAGTGTAGTTTACGTTCTTACCCCCAGCCGTTTAAGGTATGACTTGTGATATTAGAACTGCAAATATTTATGGATATGATCATTTAAGTGATATCAAGTCATCACAGGAAGTAATTTCCAGTAATCACCTTGTAAAATTATCCGCGTGATATGATTATGTTTAATGTATTAAACAGAACTTGGGGCATGCTTCTCACTTTCAAATCATCGGAAGTGTAATTAGAGAAAATGTAAATTTGTGCAGGTGCATCGTAATATCGTTGTTGACAAGGGTATGTCATGTTGAAAGGATCATCCCTGTGAAGTTATTGCAGTAATTGTTTCAGCACACTAGTAGATCGAGGTACGAAGAAACTCACCTGCAGTTCCATTAAAAGCTGCTAGGGGAACCGAACCCAAACCACTTTTTCCTGACATGAAAAGCTATCTGGCACCATGAATAAAGACCATTTAGCATATCCAGGACGGACAAAATGTACAAATACCGAAGTTCTGTTGCAGTACCGAGGTTATAACAGCCGGGAGACCCACATTTGACCTTGACCTAGATCTACTTATACCTACCCACATACCAAATATCAACACACCGATCCAAGCGTTCTGAAGCAAAACCACAAATATGCGAAAACACACACAGAGGGAGGGAGAGAGAGAGAAAAAGAGAAAGGGAGAGCGAGTGGGCGAGCTAGAGAGAGAGAAAAAGGAGAGAAAGGGAGAGAGGGGAAGAGAGAGAGAGAGAGAGAGAGAGACGCAGGCACACAGACTGACCAAAATCAGCCTCCATTTTTTTTCCTGGAGGTAAAAGTTACAACCTCAAAACAACTCTTGGTATTAAAAACAACGGCAAGGAACAATAGTTAAAGACCCAATCAGCTTCTGCATACAGACTGATTTGTTTTAATACAATATTGTGTCATCCATGCACAACCCCAGCGTTTTACGTTGACCATAAAGGATACAGCACGTAGGAAGTAAACGGTTAACTGTCCCGCCCGTAAACTCGACTGGTGACAATGATACGGTAAAACCGACACGACCTGGTGAGCACAATAATGAGACTGTATTTCAGCTGGTCGTGTAGGTACAATGACAAGTGGCTGAGGTGCAGATTGGAAGGTAGCCTTCTTTGCATAGCCTCTACCAGGCTTGGGGAGGCGGCTGGAAATAGTAGAAGTCGGCCAAATAGAGAAATAAGCATGCCAAGGGAGTTTGTCCGTTGAGAGAACAGTTCGCCGCACCCCAATTTAGCTACTTGGCACCTATAAGGTAGCGATTAGTGGACTTCAAAGAAATGGTGACTCCCGACAGGCTTGTGGGGCGGCGAAATGTTCTCTCAACGGACAAACTCCCTTGGCATGCTTATTTCTCTATTTGGCCGATTTCTACTATTTCCAGCCGCCTCCCCAAGCCTGGTAGAGGCTATTCTTTGCAGGCGTTCCGGGGGCGCTCGGCCTTTCTTTGGGCGGGGATCTCACGCAATGGAAGCTCTTGCCGCTAACATTAGAATACCACCTCGATAAAATATTGTTCCAAGGATGGCGTTCTAGGGATGGTGGCCACAGCTTCTAATACGTGCGACATTTGATTTGAAGTTGCAAAAAAGCGCAACCCAAATGCTGACCACTCCCGGAACGCCTGCAAATAAGATTACCGGAAGGCAGCTAATGTTATGGTTATAAACAATTTTTTTAGCCTCCACCAAGCCCTCCTACGGAGGACCGGGTCGTAGAAATCGGCAAAAAAAAAGGAATAATGAGGAGCTGGTTTAATTCTGCGGGCAAATGAACTCTACGGTGGTGAAACTCAAATTCCAAATTATTACCTATATTTCAAACCCGCGGTGTTATGGCGGAGACTACACATTTTCCATTCACAGAAATGGGTTTGGGGGATTTGGTTAGCCTCTACCAGGCACCGCGGAACGCTGGAAAAATAGTAGAAATTGGCCGAAAAGGGATAGTATACCAGAGAAGATCCAGGGCCATAGAAGCTCCGTGGGTCGCAAATTGGAGCTTCTATGGCCCTGGATCTTCTCTGGTATACTATCCCTTTATTTCGGCCTATTTCTACTATTTTCCAGCGATCCGCGGTGCCTGGTAGAGGCTAGGATTTGGTTACATTCGATGATGGAACATCGTCCCCACCCCGCGGTCAGTAGTGGTACTGCAGATTTGAGTCTTTTTCCAGTAACCGACCACTTTTGATAGTCTCCACCAGACTTCTTTTGGTGGAGACTACACTTTTGAGGTAACAGCCTGATAACCAATGGGAAATGGAGCCTTCTGATTGGTCGACGTCTTCTGGCTATATGACAATGGGATACAAACCTCGAGGTGCTACTAAATTATAATGCAAAAAATACATCTGAATAAGATTTCTTTTTTCCAACGTAAAGTAATGCATTTTAAGGAGAGAGGGACATACATACACACACACAGACGTGCGCGCGCACATGCACACACACTCTCTCTCTCTCTCACACACACACACACACACACACAGACGTGCGCACGCACATACACACACATTCAAGTTTTGTGTTCTTTTTAACATGGAGCATGTGGTTTGTAAGGTTACAGTAGTCCAGGTTATAGACCTTTCTATTTACAGACAGTATGGCGTTTAACCATAATGATTGATACAATTTTATAGTGTATCTCCTGGGAATTTAACACTTGTCAGATTTAGAAGTTCAGTGAAGGTGAACATCACTAGACATAATTTATTCAAATCAGGACCTTATTTACATAATTTTGTAGAATAGCCTTATTTCTTAAGATTGGACTGTCATTATAATTTGCATAATCACCATGAAAATACAATACTGTTTAAAAAGACAATACTGTTTAAATATTTGTATATTACTTTGAAAGCATGGCCTATAGACCTTCTTCAAAGACTGGAGTTGTACAGTCAAAAATTGAGTAAGTCAAATTTCTTTTCTTGGAAACTTATAGTTAACTTCAAGTTGCTTCACAGCATCAAACTACAAGCCGTTGAGTTTATTCGTTTGGTTTGGACACTTCTAGCACAGCTCGACCCTTGACCTTTCCATCTCTCAGGTCTTGCAGGACGTTCCACGCACTCTCTAGAGGATGATGGGTAATCGGAGGTGCCTTAACCTGAAAATAATCCAAGCTGATGTTACATACAATCAGCATAACATGCTAAACTTATTCTATCATTATCATAGCTCTATATACACAAGCCTACTACTGTTACAATATATCTATTGTTAGAATTGGGTATGTTTATAAGCATAGTTGGAAGTCAAATTTGACTTAAAATCGATTCGTAGGTATCAAGATGTATCAAGAGGTAGGCCTAAATTTGGTTAGACTGCACCAAAATTTGAGCCAACCTTCATGCAGGGATTGAAATACCTCTGTGTGCAAGTTGGTGCAGGTGAAATTGGTGCCGTGCAACTAATTTTTTTACCGATGTGCATCAGTACAAGTAAGCTTTATCCATTACTTAACTGTTGACTCACTACCCTTAGAAATACCCAATAAAGAACTGAAAGGGTAAAACCAGAATCCAGGGAGTTTTTCTATATTTTGTATGATTACTAGAAGGTTAGTATCTAAGTCACAGTCACAGGTTAGTAGTTTATTCCCACTACAGTGTAAGCAAATATTGGATACTATTAAAGTTGTATTATGTACTTTTGGTTGCGTACCTATTATTTTTGGGGGGTGCAACTATTTTTTTTTTGGTGCAAGCAATTTTTTTTTCATCTGCACCTGGACAGTGCAAGTTAATCCCAAAATCTATTTCAACCCCTGACATGTTTACCTTTCCATCTTCAACAAGCTTGAGGAGTTCCTTCAGTTGCTGTTGTGTACCGACCATGATACCGACTGCTGTGTGGTGTTGGACAGTAAAGGGCTTCAAGGGAAGTTTTGCTGTATCCCCAAACACCCCTACAGTCGCATGGATGCCTCCCTGAAAAAATAACAAATTCTATCAGAGTCACTATTCTTAACTTTCTTTCTGCTGCTTAACCAAATAACTGACATGAAATCAGTATACAAACTGACAGTGTGCTAAAGGTTAAACAACAAAACAATGTTATCATTTTAATAACATTGTTAATAAACAAGTGGACAAGACCAGAAAGAAAACATTAATGAAATCATAAATGGTATACATAGAGCGTTAAATTTCATCACAATTGTAGATGATCTTCCAATGTTTTTATTATCCATTTATTAGCCTCCTGCGCAGGTTTCTGAGGCACAGGTCTATGATGGCTAGTTGGTTGTCTGTCAGCAATAGAATGTGTTAACAATTCTACAAAACCCAGTATCAAAATGCCCACCCACTTGCTTGGAGCCCTACTACTTATATTAGTCTGTCACTAACAGGCAGACACACTGTTTCTTATGTAGTGTATCGGTTAAGTTATATCATCAAAAAACGGCAAGCAGATATGTGTGCTCAAATGAAATACTTGAATGTAAGCCAAAATTAAATGTAATTCAAATACTTAACATTTATCTTTTCCCAACAATATCAATTTGGGATTCATCTAATTTGGCCAACCAGCATACCATTTCATGTTTTATTGAAATGTATTTTATAATATTTTTAATAATATTTTAAAATATTAATATTTTGATTATTTTACGATATTAATATTTTTGATTATTAATAATATTTTAAACATATTTATTGAATGTTTTATAATGCATCTTGATACTCACCCAGATGAGGATTCTCTCTACCAGACTGAAAGTTCCTGATGTATTCACAAAGTCAACAGCAGCTACAGCCCTGCCTACCCTGCCACAGGCTTTATTTGTGACACTTATCAAGTGGTCTTCTGTTTCTGCAATAAATATAAAAATGACATGTCAATTGTCTTTTTGTACTGAAATATACTATGAAGGAACACATTCTGAAATGTGCAATGAAGGAACACGTTCTGAAATGTGCAATGAAGGAACACGTTCTGAAATGTGTAATGAAGGAACACGTTCTGAAATGTGCAATGAACTTGAAGGAACACGTTCTGAAATGTGCAATGAAGGAACACGTTCTGAAATGTGCAATGAAGGAACACGTTCTGAAATGTGCAATGAAGGAACACGTTCTGAAATGTGTAATGAAGAAACACATTCTGAAATGTGCAATGAAGAAACACATTCTGAAATGTGCAATGAAGGAACACATCCTGAAATGACAAATTGTTACATTTTTGTATCTTTAACAACTGATACAATTCTCAGTCTATTTATTCCAGAAGATATTATTGCTTATACTGGTTCTGGCAGAAGTTTTGTATATATAAGAGGTTATAGTAAAAGTATACACAGTATAAAGTATGGAAGTCAACTTTCCTATAACAAGTGTCAATATTTTCACCATGAAAGCATTTATAAAGAAGCATTTCCACCGGGGGTACATTATGTCTAACAAGTATGATATATATACTATATTAGGAGATATGTTTGCAAATTGCATTTGGTTCTTGTACTTACCTTTATCATTCCAGTGCACCACTTCATCACACCCCATTCCTTTTGCTGTAGTCAACTTTTCTGGCTACATGTATGCACCATTGGGAAAAACATCATTATGATAATATCAATACTTCAATGTCACTAATTAAAGTAAACAGTGGCAATTCAAAGCAGTGGACTACTGTTGAAAATAGTGATGTTTTGCATTTCTGTTTCATTCTACAACTGCTGTTTTCTTATGATTCCAATAGAAATTCTACATTGAAATTCATTTACAACTTTCCTCTAAAAGCATTGGAAAATTAGACAATGATGTTTACATCTTTATCAGCGCAGACAACCCTAACTCCATCAGGCAGCATTGCCCTTGCGATCTGGACAGCCCACAGGCCAAGGCCCCCTGCTCCCACCAGTAACACAGCACAGTCTTCTGGAACTGTGAACAGAAATTTCTGACCCTTAAAAAAACTCACGTGGCTCTGGTAATCAAAAAGGTAAGAGATTGGGTGCATCTAGGGATTCCCATCTCTGTTTTATATCTCTGTTAACATACAAATCAGGATACGAATTCATGTGTACTATGTAGATATTTTTTACTATTGGCTGTCACCACATGCACCTATGAAGTACGTATGGGAGAAATGATGGCATTATGGTTTCTGAACACTTTTCAAAGTATGAGGTATACTTAGTCTAGTATTACAGCATTCATAAGGCCACACCAAATTAATTTCTTGGCTAACGGATTCGCCCGCTCCATTTTTTTCTGATTTGCAAATAAAAATGAAAATTCAGAACCAACTGCAAAATGCTCATATTTTGCCCTGAACAGTTGAAAACAGTCTTTTTCATCCTAGTTGTTACAGTTATTCCATCTTTCAATGCCATGGTATCATTAAAAGTTCAAACTTCATTGTTTAAATTTTGAACTAGCCTGGTATGTTGACTTCATGGCTCCTATTGTACCATTTTGGGCTATAACAGGATGCCTAGGCCTGTTTTTATTTTTTTATTTTTTGCCCACCCGCTCCATTATTTTTCTAGAAAAATCCGTTAACCAAGAAATTAAATTGGTGTGGCCAAAGGTACAGGTAAAATTTGTCTGGTGCAGGTGATTTTCTATGCCACTTGTACTAGTGCACTGGTAATCTGGTATACAGAAAAAAGGATTTTGAGCATTGAATACAAAGCCTACAGATTACAGTTGAACAGAACAATCATTGTAACAAAAAAAAACAAAAAAAATTGAATATTTCACCAACCTCCATGGTCCTTGACAAACCCCTCCACAGTGTTGAGAACAGACATGACTGCATTGTAGGCCGTCAGTCCTGAACATGGCAACAAGCATGCTGTATCCATGGCAACTGTTTCTGGCACCCGCATCAACATTCTCACATCAGCTACAGTCACAAAATCTGAAAATCTATCAGGAACAGAATGTCAACAATTTTTAGAACAATACAACCCCAAAGTGGTTCATAGTGAAATGCTAGATTTAATCCTGAACATCACTTATTCTGGTAATGCATTATGTCGGCAGAATGTACACTGCACCTGCGCGAAACCCGTAATGTATTGTACATAGCACTTTGCCAGAATGTCTCATATAAGGTCATATTCGTGCATATACAGAAAACATCTCGTCTGTAGTTTCCAAATGTTATGTTGGAAAAGATACCCTCTGCAACAGACAAAATTCTAATGCAACGTTGACCAAAAATCCACTGAAAAACGTGAAAATGCGGGGTTCTGCGCTGTGAGGCACAGTGCGTTCTGCCGACATGCTTCTCACAGTACCTGTACAAAACAAGCACCTAAAATAGATATTGAGTATTTCAAACTTAAGGCAGTAACATTAGACTTTCAAAGTCAATTGCCATCCCAAAAAATGTTGAGTCAACCCTATCCCATGACATTACTGATATCTGTGTGTTGTTGTGTATATATGTACTTATTTTATATACATGTACAACATGTACTTATGAATTTATCTTATATATATATTAATGCACCAATCCCGATCAGTACAGGATATTCCAGAACATCTTATGATAAGTATATTTTAATGTTAATAATTGATAATGTTTGTAATACTTAGTAATATAACTATGTATATTTTGAACTTGGTAAATTCAGCAAAATTCAGGCTATGTTACTCTGCAAGTTGAATAAAGATTCCTTCTTCTTCTTCATCTTTGAGGCAAAAATGTGATGTCACTGATGGAAAACAGTAACTGTTGCTTGTTTTGTAGGCTGGTTCTAGCTATTTGTTGGTGGTACAAAAAAATAAAGGGACAATGTTGTCAATTTATGGCTTGTTTGGGGTCTACTTCAAACACTTCATGTATAAAATGATGGCAAAAATGTATTGGCTACACTGTTATGCAGCAGGGAGAATATCAGATCAAGCGTTGTCAGGTTGGCTGGCAGGTAAATGAATTAGGATATAAACCTACCCTCCATCTTCTGTGAACCCAATAGCCTTCCTGACCCTGTTCAGACAGTAGGTAGGTTTGTCCACCTTACATCTGCTGCAAACTCCACACCCATGTATGGCATATACCATCACCTGGTCACCCACCTGAGGGGGACAAAACCCATGCATGTACATGTATGTACTGTGCACCCATGTACATGTATAAAATGCACATCCACATGTGACAATTACACTATCACCCAGTGACATACTACACACCCATGCATGCACTGCACACCCATGTATGGCATACACCATTACCTGGTCACCCACCTATAGGGGAACGACATTAAACATTGAGAATTACTACACACCCATGTATGTACTGCACACCCATTTATGTGCCACACATTTATGTACACAGTATACAGTGTTAAGACATGTAAGTACAGCCCTTCCATGTACAGTGTTACACAACAGGATACTAACATTTACAAGGACAACAAACCAAATCATTGCGAAGAAATTCCATATGTACTAGACTATAAGTTAGTGACACTGTACCAAATTTCAAAACAACACCATGTCCAACCAATCATCTGAGATGAGTATGAAACTTTTAGAATGCAACCTACAAAGTTTGAATAGTAGTACCTTGATATTGCTGCTGACAGCCGATTGGTCTATGCTGTGTACTCTTCCAGAAACCTCATGGCCTGAAGTATACAATTTATTCCACTTAATGCAAGACAAATAATTAGTAAGTTAAAATGCCATTGACCAACTCAGATTTATGCTTTATAGACAGGACCTTCTAAATCATAATGACTTAGATTTCAGCAGACTTAACTGCTCATTTGATGCTTCAAAAGGAGGATCTGCATAACATCCGTGTCCATAACATCACCAGGGTCCATAATATCGCCACCTTGAGAAACAGTGTGCTTAAAGATATTTTACTGCAATATACCCTCAACGTATGTACATTTGATGTGTGAAGGATAGCAAATGAAAAGTATGTTGCAGTAAAAATATCTTTAAGCACACCGTTTTTCAATGTGGCGATATTATGGACCATGGTGATATTATGGACACGGATGTTACATGTGTAATATTATCCTGACATGCATTGCATTAGTGGTTCAAGTATTTGATCACAAGCTGGCATAATCATTCAATCTGTACATGTAGCTTCAGTAGCAGGTAGTTCATTTGTTTCTCCACTAAAAACAATGCATTTTCACCAACTTGAGCCACTGAACAATGATTCAGAGGTTACTGCTAACTTCTTGGTTTGCAGGAAAAATTGAATGGGATCCAAAGTCTACAAAGCCCCATGGGATATATGCAAATTTCCCCATTATGCCATCACATCATGATCATCCTCTACTTTTTTGTTCAATGATAACCATGTCCTTTCTGTGGTATGGTGCAGTCACATTCTTCATAGGAGTGTTGAATGATTTTTTTCAGTAACAAAACAATTTGATTTTTTATGACATAATTAACTTTCCCAGGAATGCCTTTCGCTTGCAATCATGTGATTGTGACCAGGCCCTTACCCATTTTAGCAAAAGAATTTTTTTTACTGACCAAGTATCAAAGGGAGGCTGTAGTTGGGGTTTTCCCCTTTACTTATGTCAACATCACTATGGCACAGACCAGCATAGTAGACCTACAAGGGAAACAATACAAACTCAAATGTTAGTGTACTATTTGTTAAAAAGTAAAGCATCCTAGAGCACTCAAACATTCATGAATATCAACCAGTACATTGCAACCATCATTTATCTGTAAAATTAAAGACTTTTAAGTGCCAAAATCCTGATAGCAAGGTTAAAAGTCTGCATTTCGTGATAGTCATGCTTGCTTTGGTTAAGGGATCAAGGTACAAGGTAATGCTTGCCTGTGGGTGGATGGTGTTCAGCACCAGGGACAGGTATGCTTGTCTGTGTGAGTGTGTTCCATTATCCTAACCCTCAAAACCGTATTAACAAGACCCGGGGTTGAGCAGTTCAAGTCCTCGTCTATGTCGCACACTTATGATACTTGCACATAGACGTGGCTATATATATATATATATATATATATATATATATATATATAAGACTGGGAGCAAGGGAGCAAGAGAAGCCAGTTAATTGCACAGTCGCCACGGCTAGCACATCTACCACTTTTAATATACTGGGACTGAATCTAAACTTTATGTCCTGAAGTTGAACTGGTCGTAATACAGCAAGTATATCCGTAATTAGTGACTGTTTAATCGATTTTGCTAAACACTATTTCCCAAAGAAACCTAACAGCCAAATCCAACTTGAGTTCTCCGAAAGTTTCAACCCGGAAGCAACAAATTCTGAACTTTGCCCTCCCTTCGAAGTCAAAAAGACTGTTTGAATACCCGCCACCAAACCGACCAAACACCTAATTTGTTACATCTATGAAGTGATGTAAGTTGTACACAGACCTTGACTACGGCGCCACCGGGAGGAGTACTGGGAATATCGTCTGTCACGAGCTCTAAAGGTTCGTTGAACTTCGTCAGTTTTGCACTACGACGCGCCATGTTGGCGTTGACCTTTGACCCATAACTGATGACCACTATAACGTCGGAACAGTCTCACATGTGAGATAAAAAAAACCTACATGTGTGAGGAGTGTGGCTACATGACAGCTAAAAGTTTGACTTATTCAAACTGATGAGAACTCAAAAACGAGAAAAACTCTGCAAGTGTGACCAGGGTGACTATTCTGCAATACAGAAAGGGACCTTGGGCCACCATGCATCTAGTGTCAGAAACCCTTACATGTGTGGGGAGTGTGGATACAGGGCTCTGCCCTTCAGTTAATGTCAGATCACAAACAAACATGTGTACGTTTTAAAAGCAAAATGTTGACAACATGTGAAATGTATTATATGATCTTATATGGGTAATCAGGCCTACACTTTTTAACCTTTGACCCACATTGTGTTCACTTCTGACCTCACGAGACGACAGAAGGACACACAAGACAAAGCTGTCCGAGTCCCGGTTACTTGAAGAGAAAAAAACCATCACAGGAAGCAGGTAAGGCTTAGAAACCAACAGCAAAGTATTTACATGTCAAGGGCAATAGTTTGAGACCATTTCTGTGGAAGTAGAACTGCATTGGGGCGATAATCTATAGCCATTTCCGGGATAAGAATATGGTGGAAATTAATGAGAGGGAGGGGGGCAAAACCAAGCATATGAAGCTGTCGGCCAGACCACTACATGATGTATTTCGAGCTCCAATTGAAATTTATGGTTAACATCTAATAAATGAGCTGTCACAAATCATCTATTTGAGTGTTCAACTAGTGCAGATTCACATAAACAAGGTAGTAGTAGTCCAACCTCCATTTACTAAGTCCCAAAAATCTCATTTTGTCATCAGTTACGTAAGTTAGGCCATGTTGATTTGATTATATGGATGACATCCTCTGGGAACCCCAAAACTGATGCGCGCGTGCGAATAAAAAAAAAGTTTTGCAAAAAAAAAAAGTTGCTTTCACTATGAAATCTACGTGGTCATGAAGGTTGAACAAATGGCACAGAATATGTTATGGCGAATAATCTACTCTTCGAATTCATTTCTTTACATGTTTGTCTTTTTTCCTTTGATTTTGGCATTCTACGACATTGGTATCGCTTCTGAATGTTTTCCTTGCAACTTATGGTATATTTTTGCTCATTTAGCAACTGTTTTGCACGATTTACAGTATGGTTGAAAACTTTTTTTTTTTTTGGAAACGGCCGAAAATTCATGCGCGCGCGGATGTCATCCATATAATCAAATCAACATGGCCTTAACAATAGATGGAAACACTGAGGGCATGACTTCTGCCCCCCCCCCGTACACCACCAAAACATCACCATAGCATTGCTTTGAGAGCTCTACCAGGCAGCCAAAAACAAGATTAACAGCCAGTTTTGTTGACGAAATAGGACTACACACTACTGTAACTTACAGTGTAAGTACATTGTTACAAAATCATAATGTTCTATATCATAACAGAAAGAGAAATAACACCCCAACTGTAAAATGTCAGCATTTATCCATACGTGCACATACATGTACAAAGAAAAAGGCTGTTTTCAGTTGGTTTGGATGCACTCCCCAAATGGTACTCGAAATGGGCCTCTGGCAGTCTGGCCACATTTCTTAGTATGTATGTCGTACATCAGAAAGATGGTTGTTGAGGAAGAACCTAGGACAACGATGAAACAAAATTCAACCGGTATCGACTGTATTCATCTTTCTTGAAAATCACAGAGATCGGACCACTTCTCCTTTCATACCTTTTTCTGTTTCTCTCTTGTGCAGGGGGCATATCTTTTTGCCCTGGCTGGATTGCCCTGATCTGAAGGTCTAGGAAGAACTTATTTAAATGATATTTAAACAAATGTAAGATATTAAATTGCAAATATCCATAAGGCATTCAGCTAAAAAACACCTTGTCTTTTCACCATTTGCTGAGATGTAAATGATTAGGTTAAACTTGTGTATATTTTTGATTTGATTTTGATGTCTTCATTTTCTCATTAGACCAAACATGGCAACGACAGGGCGCGGGTCTCCCACCGGAGTTGGTCAGAACTGCTGTAATGGGTCTCCTATTGGGGTTTCCCAGGTCGACTGTGACAGCAAAACAAGCAATGTTAAAGACCAGATGGCAGCACAGCAAGTCAACTTAAATAACGCCGGTGAGAAACCCTACATGTGTGGGGAGTGTGGGTACAGGGCAAAATACAAGTCTTACTTGTCCATACATATGAGAATCCATACAGGAGAAAAACCCTACAAGTGTGACCAGTGCGACTATTCTGCAGCTCGGAAATCTACCTTGAACATTCATCTAACAAAACACACTGGTGAGGAACGCTACATGTGTGGGGATTGTGGATACAGAACAGCTTACAGGTCCAGCTTATCCCAACACATGATAGCCCATACAGGACAAAAATCCTACAAGTGTGACAAGTGTGACTATTCTGCTGCACTTAAATGCACCTTAGACGACCATAAAGCAACACACGCCGGTGAGAAACCCTACATGTGTGGGGAGTGTGGATACAGGGCAGAATACAAGTCTTATTTGTCCATACACATGAGAACCCATACAGGAGAAAAACCCTACAAGTGTGACCAGTGTGACTATTCTGCTGCAAAAAAATCCAATTTGAACTTACATCTTGCAAAACACACTGGTGAGAAACCCTACATGTGTGAGGAGTGTGGATACAGGACAGCTGACAAGACCAGCTTATCCCGACATATGAGAACTCATACAGGAGAAAAACCCTACAAGTGTGACCAGTGTGACTGTTCTATGGCACGCAAAGATAAATTGGACATTCATCTAGCAACACACACTGGTGAGAAACGCTACATGTGTGGGAAGTGTGGATACAGGACAGCTGTGAGGTCCGACTTATCCCGACATATGACAAAACATACTGGTGAGAAACCCTACATGTGTGGGGAGTGTGGATACAGGACAGCTCACAAGAAGTCCTTAGCCCATCATATGAGAGCGCATATATCAGAAAAAACTTACAAGTGTGACCAGTGTGACTATTCTGCAGCCTGTAAGTCTGCCATTACTCGACATATCAGAATTCACACTGAGGCAACTGTGACCATCTAGTACCGACAATCTTCACTTGACTATATACAGTTTCTCTAAACTAAAACCAAGCTTAAGGATATATCACATTACTTCCTGTAATGTAAATCTATCTACAGTACCCATTGTTTGTAAGAAAAAAGCTGCTTTGCCATACAGACAAAGTACATTGTAACAGACCATTCTAGACCTGACTCTTACGCATTTCAGCGTTACAGTGTATTTGTTGGACCACTTCAGCCAGAGTCTAAAAAGATTTTTTATTAAAAAAAAAAGAGAGAGTACATGTACCTACCTATGCCTTTATTTTTTCAGCATTAGATTAGGAACAAAACTTTGTAAGTCTAGTTAATTACTAATAGATAATTATTAAAAACATAGTTGAATGAAAGTTCATCTGTGTTGGTAGAATCCATAGTTATAGAGTTCAAACTTTGTTCCAACACAAGAAGTTAACTCTTTGCTAGATTACCTTGTGTGGGTTGTGGAGGAGGCAGTTTACATTAGGGTCCATCGATCAACCCTCTCTCAGGTCTCGAAATACTGGATGCATGTGCACCTTAGTGCACCCAAATTTGGAGCTGTGCACCCAATCTATTTCTCTCGGTGCACTTGTGCACCCAAATGTTTTTGTAGGTTTACATTTTAGATGTTAAATGTATAGTGGTACACGACATATTCTTAACATCTAAGTGTCAGAAAAACAATAAAATTATTGTTACAGTACTTTTCTTTAGAAATCAACATGATTACTTTTACTGACATTCTACTAATTTTCTTAGGTTGGGTGCACCATTGCACCTATTCCCAAAAAATGAATTTCGAGCCCTGCTCTCTAAATCTTGACGGTGGGAGATTCCGTCTCCCCGCCACTTTTTATGCACTCCTGACGTCATCGATCACGCTTCCGATTACGGAGAGCCAGTGATTGCATTATACATCTGACGACGGTTGACGAGATCGACCGAAAATGTATGGTGAGTTTACGTCTTGTGTTGGGACGAAGTTTGAACTCTATGACTAAAGATAAACACAGTGTTAGCAAATTTCCGTCCTGATACTGGTGGGAACGTGTTCGTATGTCACACCTGCAAGAATCACAATGTAGCGAGCCCTCCATCGGCTAACGGGCGGAGCAAGGTCTCCTCAACAGGCGGTGGTTTTACTGGTTTGCCGGAGTGAGTTCAGTGTAAGGTTTACTATATCTAGTATAGGTTATAGATTGTATTTAGAAGCGAGAGGAAGTAGAAAGGCTAGAAATAGAACACATTAGACGTTTGTATAAATACGTAACAGTTATATATATATGTATATAATTGTAATAATGTGACCTGTGCTTAGCCCAGTGGGGCAAAGATTTACATGTACAGTAAAGGTCTTTATTCATCCATTCATTCATTCGTTATATTTAGACGTAATGGTATGAACGGCGGTGTCGATATTTCTATATCATTTTATTATCTGGTGTACATTTGTAACGACACACTGTATTTTACCCTTAAGCAAATGCCATGTTTTAGTTTAGTTTTAGTTTTCTCCATATTGTCAAGGTGTTTTTCTGACATTGAGGATATTAGGACAGCAGTTGGAGAACACTCACTTTAACTTTTTTTTGTTTTTCAATTCAATTCTTTATTTGCATACCAACATACAGAATAGAACTATAACGTTGTTATTTACATTATATTAAAATAAACACATAACATTATTACATTCATAAATTCATGGATAGATAAATACTACTTTCCAAATGTAGTTTACCACCCCAAACCTTTCATGCAAGGACAGCAGTCTTTATGTTTTTTTTTTTTTGGCAGGTTGACGACTGGAATACGTTGATAGAGTCGGAATGTTGGCACTGTACGTGTTGTTTATTCTGTACACTCTGGTGTACATGGGCCCGGGAAGTGTAGGTAAGTCAACAGACCAGTTTTTAGTCGATTGCCCTACATGTACGTCCCTTTGAAAGCTTGGGGCAGACGTCAATGCGACGTCATTCTTCCACCCTCAGCCAGGCCTACCTCCGTCGGAAGGTAGACATGCAAATATTTGCCAGCCATATCAGCTAGCCATGTTCAGATATGCAATAAGTAAATTACGTGCTGTGTAGTTTAAATTTTCTAATTCTTTTTTGGCGACGCCTCAATGGCGGGCCTAATAGTACAGTATTGTGTGCAGTCTGCAAGAGTTCTAGGAATTGTACAGGCATTTTATCAACAGGCCTGGAATGTCCATAGGAATGTCTCCCGGCTTGCTAACACACTTTATGCCCACAGTCAGACTTCCTGGAGACCTTTGGGAAATGGGGACATTGTGGCTGCCGGGGATGGCCTACTTCTGTCACCCCAGGGCTTGTTCACTTTACACTTAGGGGAGGGTAGGAGTGATCTCCTACCCTCCCCTGAGTGTGATAAAACTGATGGCTATCAATGTTTATTCTTGTACAGCCGCCGATGATAACTATAGGAAAGTATCCATGTACCTTAAGTTGTCACTTGTTAAGTCTGGACAGATACTACAGTGCAGTTCAGTAGATCACTCCTACCCTCCCTTGAGCGTATATATATATTGTATCACCTATTATTTGGAAAATGTGAAAAAGACACAGACAGACAGAAATAAAGAATAACCGTATATGTGCACAACGCACGTTTAGATGCGGTGTCCATCACTACCGTGAGGGTTCCGGATCGAGGCGGTTGGGTGGTGATGTGGCCCCGCCCGGGTGACCCTACCTGGGAGAACAGGGTAGAGTTCAAGTGCGAGTATTCCATCTCACCTGCCTCAACCACTACTCCAACAATCACCTGGCTCAGGGTTAGTAAGATGTTTATGTTTGCCTTCGCAAATGTGTGTGCGTGTGCGTGTGTGTGTGTGTATGTCTGTCTGTGTATGTGCGTGTGTGTGTGCGCGCACACACACATAACAGTAGTTATGCTAGATCATGTGAGAGTACACATTATGTACTATAAATACTCTAAATACTATAAATACATTATGTACTCTTTCTCGGTGAATATGGTGTGATAAAGCCTTGTCAGTTGCTATAACCACCTCATAAAGCCACCTCATTCGCTGCGCTCACTTGGTGGCTTTATTCTGTAGTTACAGCAACTGACAAGGCTTTATCACACCATATTCACCTCGGGGCGGGACATTAACCCTTAAGTATTTGCTTTGCAAATGTGACCATGGTTCGGGCTGATGTTCGGCTGGTGTTTGGAAGTAGGTCAACTGAGTGTTCAAATTTGACTCAAATTTAACTCACAAACGATTTGATTCGTATCGACAGCATGGCCTACATCTGGTCAGTCTGCTTCCGAACTTCAGCAAACCTTGGTCGGCAGGTGTTTGAGGAGACGTTCTGACAGGGGCTTTATTCTCCTTAAAGGCATCCAGTGCAGTTTTTAGGGTTTGGAAACCAGATTTTTAGGGTACCATCCAGAAAGGACTAATCTTGGGATTTGTTTTTGCAGTTTTAAATGTTAATGCCCAAAGTATGAAATACTGATTCAAAATGTGCTAATGTGGGACAGTACGTGTCAATATCATACAGATTGCGATATAAAGGATATTTTCAGTTTTGCCGCCCTGAAATTGCAAATTGAATTGAATGCCTTTAAGGGGGTGTTCGCCGACGCAGACCGTGAGGTTGTCTACAAGTGGAGCTCGTCAGGAGAAGTCTACGTCCATCCCGAGTTCGCAGGTCGCGTCAGTATCGAGTCCCGATCCCGGCCGACTCTCGTACTGACCGACACGAAGTTTGACGATTGGGGCCGATACTGGTGTCGGGTCACGAACGAGGAACAGCCGGACGAGTTCGGCACGGACGAGGAATCTCTCCTCTTCTGGTACAAGTTGGGTATGTGATATTACTTCTGGGTACGGAAGCCATTTAGTTCATGAGCCATAGCCTTCAGCTGCCACATACGTGAGATAGGCCTAGGGTTTAACAGGGTTAAGGGTAGAGTTAGGATCATTGTTCGGGGCTAGAGTTAGATTTACGATTGTGGTTAGGTTAGGTTAGGTTAGGTTAGGTTAGGTTAGGTTAGGTTAGGTTAGGTTAGGCTAGGCTAGGCTAGGCTAGGCTAGGCTAGGCTAGGTTAGGTTAGGTTAGGTCTCCCACATCACGACTATACCTCTCCCACCCCCTGTCTCAAGTAGTGTCGGAGTCATGTATTTGGCAGGATCATGTATATGGCTTGAAACCGGGTGGAAATAAGTGGGCGGTATGCGGAAGAATTCAGAAAGTGGTATTATTTTTGTAATACCCGATTACATCACATCGTACAATCCCCTCCACAGTCCCAATTATAAAATAACCTACCATACTTTATCAAACATGTACTATCAAACATGTACCAAGAATTTGAAGATTTCAGACCTCCTGAATCCATTAATGAAAAACCCAAAACACTTACATGGAGGTCTAAAATCTTTAAATTCTTGGTACATGTTTGATAAAGTGTGGTAGGTTATTTTATAACGCTTTTTGTGCAATTTTTTGTTAACAACAGACAAAACAAAGACAATGCGACGTTACACCAAATTTACACTCATTTTATGATACATGTTTTATCCAGCGCCCCCTCTCATTACCCAAACTTGTATCTGTGGATAGCTACTATTGTGCAATTTTCTAGCAGGAAGTCTGTATTCCAACAGCTGTACAACAATATAGTCATCCGATGTTTTCTGTCCAGGGTACGATCCGCCGACCCGTTTGTCCGTCGTTAACCTGGACAAAACCACAGTCCACGTGGCGGCTGGCGGGACTGTCCAACTCGACTGTGCGGGAACCAGCGGCCGTGAAGCCTCCATTCTCTGGGCCAAAGGTCCGACCGGCTGTACTCAAGGTAAACTTCGTTTTTATGTTACGTTGAAGTTCGCAGAAGGAAAACATTGTTTTTTCTCAGTTTCTTCTTCTTCTTCTCCGAGCACATAAGGTCAATGACCTGAACCAAACGGCTGTCACCATGGTAACTGTGATGTAACAGACAGTCCCAGACACCCTGTGGTTTCGGGTTACATAATGTTGCAAGTTGCAATTGCAGTTGGAGGGGATCGATAAATGTGAGTAATAAATAGAACAGTAGTTTGTTAGGCTGAGACCATGTGAAGGTAAACATTCTGCATTTACTTTACTAAAGTTACTTTTCTAGTTGTTTTACCACATTCTGTCGACCTATTTTCAACTTTACTGCCAAGTTTCCTCTCCCACGTGGTCTCAACCTAATCTGTCCGAACAAGTAGGCAAACCGACGCCCTTTAGCTGGTATCAAACTGCACGGTCTAAATGTTATAAGCTATGTTAATTCCTCTCTTTACGATTTTTTAATCGCATGCATCTTGCTGAAAACGTCTGCAGGTGAAAGCTGTGACATCTACGAGACTGTAATACACAAGTCTGCCGTGTGGGGCGCTGGTAATCCAGAACAGGAAAACATCACCATCTCTCCTAACTACGTCGGAAGGGTTTCCCTGGGTGAGTAAAAGGCAACTTCCATATGATTAAATAGCTTTAAAATTAAACATGGTGTTCTCTCTACAACTTTTATCAGTATGTTACACAACAGCAAGGTTTCAAATTCATTTCGAGAAAACCTTGCCCTACTGAATATGACAAACAAACTGTTACTCAAGCAACTGGAGATATTTTTAAAAATCAGACGTTTCAAATAGTATCCACTACCAGTCACTGACAAAAAGTAGTGTAATCTACCCAGTTGCTTCAGTAACTGTTTTCTTGCGTAACTCATTACTTTGATGTCTAACCTTCATCGATGGAGTATTTTTATTGTTTCTTACACACTCAAAGCCGGCGCGCCGTCATCTTCCAAATATAGGTTTGAGAGTGTTTTATCTGTCCTTGGTGCTGATTGGCCGGTTACGCAGGAATGATAGTGCATGTTCCTTGTTTGTCGCTGTTTTCCAAATATGACTGGGAGGATGGTTATATCCGTCCTTGGTGCTGATTTCCCTTTTTTCCCCAATTTTAATGTATCTCACCGGAAACACAGCTGCGGATGGATATGGCTCCTTTACTCCGACCCTGACCATCACCGACATCCGCCCTAGCGACGCCGGCCGGTACTGGTGCGCCCCGGACATCTCCGAGGTTTACTCTAACCTGGGGCCTCTGAACCGTGACGCTCAGTCTGTGGTCATCGTCGTCAACGGTTGGTGTAGTTCTATCTAATATACACTTATGATAGCACTTTAAAAAAGAAATCGGAGATTTCAGATCCTACTTTGGGTTTTTGTGATCTTCAAGTTCACCCCATTTACTGTGTCAGAATTTTTGACCTCCTGTGATTTTTGCCTGTCAACCTTCCACTATCCACGTGCTGTCAACCTCACCTCAATTTCAACCTCATTTAAAGGGTCTGACCTTTTGGCCTACGATTACTAGTATTCTGCCCGTCTATCTTTCTATCACGTGCTCTCAACCAACTCTGACAAGTAAACACAAACCCACACCTCAGCAACGTAAAGAAATACATCCGCATCCGAAGATCACAATGACATATATACGTGGCTAAGTAATATAATCAATTTGTTTCTTGAATCTATACATGGCCATATTTTAAAACAGAGCATAAGTTTTAAATTTAGCACTTTCTATACGTTACCCATGCGGGCTTACCTTATAAATTTTTCCAACGAACAAAAATTTTAACGTTCTGCTTACTTTTTACTACGTTTTACTCCGTGAAGGAGGTCAGTGACCTTCGATAGGAGTATTTAGGTTAGTTTTGTCCGTGAAATGTCGTTTATTCTTTGGTTGGCTACAGCACGATTGATTGTTGTCACATTCGTAACAATACATTTACGTTATTATCATACCAGACCCAGGTACCGAGCCAACCTGTGTCGGTCAGACGGACGGGATGTACCAACACCCCGCTGACTGTACCCAGTTCTACACGTGCTCAGGCGGTCTGCACTACGGCACCAACGCCTGTCCTGCCGGGCTGGTCTTCAACCAGGGTCTACAGCTGTGTGACTGGGCAAGCAACGTCATCTGTCTGTAAATGGCCTTTCCGCAGTACAGGCTGATCCCATAGCCCCGCCCACCTGCGTCAGTAGACGTATGGCCCCTCATTGGTTGAATCGCTAATTTTTATTCTCTTATTGGTTGAACTGATAATCTAACTGTGATAGGCAGTCAGGATACATTGTTAATCCCTGAAGGTTTTGGTAATAGGGAATGAATGCCTGTGTGACTGGGCAAGCAACGTCATATGTCTGTAAATGACGCTTCCACAGTACAGGCCGATCCCATAGCTCCGCTCACCTGCGTTAAAAGACATATGGTCCCTTTCTGATTGGTTGAATCACTAATTGTCATTCTCTCATTGGTTGAACTGATAATTTAACTTTGTTAGGCACTCAGGATACATTGTTATTCCCTGAAGTAGGTTACGGATGGATCCATGCAGAGTGCCTTTCTGTGCGTAATCGGATACTCTTAACAGTATTCTTAGCACCAATAGCAGAAAATTCTTTTCTGTTTCTTAAAGACTGTAAATCCGACAATCCCAACGTTCAAGAACATATGGATTTTCAACACCAATAGAGCACTTCACTAACATAGCATAAAGAAATTCTATTGTAATCATTTGAGAACAGCTACTCTTACGTACCTGTGTGTATGGTTAGCGGGCCTTTCCTTGGTGCTGAACCCTTTCCAGGGTTTCGGTTTCAAGGACCATGGGGGTAGAAAAAGGACAAGAAAGGACAAATCTACTACATGTATCACGTGTTTTTTATGGTTTCATTCAGTGTTTTGGAGAGTGTACAGACTCTTTTAAAGACATGTTTAATATAAGCTGCAGATGAAAATTTTGACCTGTTTTAACACAACCTGGAACGCTAAATCTAACACATAAAATTTAACACCATCAACTATTCATAACAAACAACATATAAGAATATACATTAAAAGCCCGGAGGTATAAAATCTCAGATTTTACTTGTTTAGACTGATATGAGTGTAAAGAAAGTACAGGTTGACATCAGCAACCAGAACTGAATATAAAGGTAAATAAGATACAAGGCGGATGTACAGAGAGAACAATCCTTTTGAGATAATCGAAAATACATGTGTATTTGGTTGGGGGAATTTTAATATTTTCAAACATTGCATTTTTTTTTACATTTGCGACTTGATGACAAACATCCCCAAGATATGTGGCAGATGTTCGTACGACGGATATAATATTTCCATCTTCAGTAATCACATTTCGGACAAACAGGATGTTACTTAGAAACTCAGAAATGTAGAAAATGTTTAATCTCCGGGAAGTGACTATGGTTCCTGTCTCGAGCACGTTGTCACCATATATCGTTGAATATTAAAGAGACATCTTTTTTACAGGACGACACAATTATGCCACGCCGACTTAATTTTATGGATGACATCCACTGAAGACCCCCAAACCAGTGCGCGCGGGCGAATAAAAAATTCCGGTCAAAAAATGCTACTAAACCACAGGAATATAAAGCTGGTATTTTAGATTTACGGCAGTACTTAGCGACGTTTACGACAGGCCGGCTTATACTGGCTATTTGAGAGTTTTATGAATCGGCACTATATGTACTGAGTTCTTGAGTCGTGAAGCTTCGGTAGCCTGGGTGCCTAGCTCCGTATTGTTGCTAACTATCATGGACTAATCAGGCCTAGAGCAATGCCAAAGCCTCGGTGGACGTGATCCTTTTTTTTGGGGGGGGGGGATAGGCGTAAATCAATGCGCGCGCTATTGTCATCCATGAATTAAAGTCGGTGTGGCCTTACATATGATACAGCATGGAAACTGTTGCTGCTACAATAACCTCTTTTTGTTTATACTTCTTACGTTTAAAATCTAAATATAAAATAAATTAGGCGGTAAAAAGATTGTTAACGTAAAAAGTCCGACAATAATTACTTATTACTTAGTTTAAGTTTATTTATTTTACAAGAAGGCTACACTCAGGTCATTTGACCTGATTTTCAGGTACTTCTGGGACAATAAAACGCACACATCCATACGAGAATGCACAATGATAACAATACAACCGTGCTTAGGAAATGAAGAACTTTATTGCACGACAAATGCACATGGTACATTGTATGGCAAACTACATAAAGAGAATAAAAACAATAAAATAAGTGTGTTGAATAAGACCTAATGTCGAATAAAACCTAACATATCTATATCATAATCATTCAAATAATAAGGGATATCACAAGTCGTTGATAAAGTGTTACAATCAAGTGGGCTAATCACAAGTTTCGGTATTTTTTCTAATAGCAAAGCATTCCTTTATATATCTACCTATTTTTGCATTGTGGGGACCGTTACATGTAAAGATATATTCAAATCTGTCTCCAACATCGAGACTCTTAAAATCTATGGTACTTGATTCGAGAAATGTAAATAGCTTGTTACGTATAACATCATATTTGGTACATTCCATTACAACATGAAATTCATTTTCTATATGCTTTGGACAAAATGGACAGAACCTTTGGTCGGGGGCTATATTGTAATATCTACCTGTTTCAATATTCAATTTATGGCTACTGATTCTTAATTGAGTTATTGCTTTACGAATTTCGAAGTTATCTATATCACAGAGGTATGTTTCTTGGTCATAACAGTTTTTAATTTACTAAGAAAAGACAGCTTAGAATTATTTCTAATGCAACTAAACCACTCTTGTATATGTGTATCTTGAAGCCGGTTGCGAAGATGGTGTGTAATATAATCTGCTTTATAAACTTCAGGTTTCATCCATATATGTCCAAAGCCGTGGTAGTTGAGAGTGTCTTTAACATGATTAATTCCAGTCGTGGTCATCAGCAAATACAGTTTTGTATGCATCATGAAGCAGAGAGTCCTCAGGTAAGTTTGTCAAACGGTGCCAGTATTTAATGAGCTGAATTTTAGCAGATATCATAATGGGGAAAGATCCTAATTCTCCTCGTACAGCGTCGTTGGATGATTTTGAATGGACTCCAAGAAGAAATTTTTGAAAACGTATGTCAATTATATCAAATTCTGGTATGGCTATAGAGAGGCGTATGTTATTGATTGTAAAATTATCATTTTCTAGATTAAACCCAGACGCCTGTCTCAGAACCATGTCTTTGTCTGATCTTCTTTCAAAGTTAATGATATAAGTATGAGTTAGATCAGTGCAAGTGCTTTTTCGAATAAAAACTGGAATGTTATCATCAATTTGGAGTTTAGTCAATAAAAAAGAGAAAATATTTTTAGGGGAAGACACAGGAATGTTTTAGACACAATAAGTTTAAGTGATTTTGAGGTTTGGTCGAAGCATGTTAACTCAGCTCGATATAAAAGGATAGGTTTTACAAATTTATCAAAAAGATTTTTACCTAGCTTGATGGAGATGTTTTCCGATGATAAAAGTGATTTTAATTTGAATATTGCTCTCATAGCTTTAGTTTTTAAGAACTTTCTGGCTGTTTTAAATTTACCTGAGGACGTAAAGGGGATACCAAGGTATGTATAACTATCTGTAACTTCTATTTCTCTATTATAGATGAAGAATTCTTTGGACATTTTCTTTGTAACACCTTTAGCGAAGACAATGACTTTTGTTTTGGAGACGTTAACAGTTAATTTCCAATTGCTACAGTATGTTTCTAGGGAATTTATGCATTGCTGAAGACCATGCTTTGATAAAGAAATCAAGGCAAGATCGTCAGCCCAAGATAAACAATTGATAGATTTAGATGTTAATGTAGCGGCATCACACTTGTCATTATCAAAGCATTGCGGTAGGTCATTGATGAATAGGTTAAAAAACAACGGGCTAATGTTACAACCTTGTCTTACACCACAAGTTGAAGCAAAGGTATCTGATAAGCCATTCTCTATTCTAACTGCATAATTAACATTCAAGTACATAGATTTCAGTATATTAAAAAAGTTTCCCCCGATGCCATAGTGTAACAATTTGTAGAACAATCCATCACGCCACACGGAGTCAAATGCTTTTTTCATATCAACAAAACAGACAAACAATTTACCTTTCTTTTTTTTGTGTATATTTTTCAATAAGGGATTTTAGAAAAACAACGATTTTAGAATAAAGACATTGTCGGCGGTTCGGCACTTCTTTCTAAAACCAAACTGTGTTTCGGCTAACAGATTATTGTTTTCTACAAAGTTTTGTAGTCTGGTATTCAAGAGACGAGTGAACAATTTCGAAAGACAACTAGATAGAGCGATTCCTCTGTAATTATCAACATTGGACTTGTCACCTGATTTAAAAATTGGAGTTAGGATGCTAGTGTTCCAGTTAGACGGAAAAGTGCCTTCAGTGAGAATAGTATTGAAATTGGTTACCAATGATAAACATAATTGTTTTGAGTTTGCTGCGTGTTTTAGCATGTTGTTAGAAATAGAATCTATTCCGCAGGCTTTTCCAGACTTTAATTGTTTTATTCCATCGAGAACGTCTTTTGTAGTAAACGGAATATCTAGCAAACTACTATCGGGTGAATTTTTATCAAAATTTTCTAACCTTTCAGTGATTGAATTTGCAAAATCCGTGTCAAAACTGTTGTGCTTGTCAGTTCCAATTCCAATGAGTTTTTGAAGGCCGTTAAAGTTGTGAGTTTTCTGTTTTATTTGGTGAGATGATTCCACAACTAGCTATAAAGATATTGATCACACACAAAAAAACATATTTAAACTTTAAACCCCCAATACGGATTGAATTCTGCTTTTAGTTGTACTTTTTCTTCTTCAATTTGATGCTAGAAATTGTTGTTACAGACGGTGCTTGACATTCGTTTGTTCGCTCAATTGGATTTACCGTTTGATTTCAATGAAAGGGGTAAGAGTGGGATAAAACAAGTGATATACATCTTTACAGGCTGCATGTTCTTCATTTGTGACGTTAACAAGCGCTGTGGAACCAGGTGGACACTTATCAAAGACAACCGAATGTCAGTTGGGTACATGTAATACACTACCCATTGGTCACTGTAGCATCGTCTGAAAGAAAGATATTAGCGATTTTCTGTACAATTTTTTTCAAAATTTCGTGTCCATCTCTTTTCAATACATGTCAATGACGAGTCAGTGCGCGAATATTGCACATTCCCTAGTTGCCATATTTTCCAGTCATATGAGGCTACACCGACTTAATTTTATGGATGACATCCGCGCGCGCATTGATTTTCGCCTGTTTCTCCAAAAAAAAAAAAAAAAGATCACGTCCTCCAAGGCTCTGGCCTGGCTCTAGGCTTGCGTAGTCCATGGTAGTTAGCGACAATACGGTGGCGGTAACTTTAGAGGATGGCACCCAGGCTACTAACGCGAAGCTCCACGACTCAAGAACTCAGTACATTCCGCAAAAAGCCAACATGTGCCGGCTTGTCGTATACGTCCCTATGTACTGCCTCAAATTCACAATACGATCTTTGTATTCCTGTGGTTTAGTAGCATTTTTATTTTTGGCCGGAATTTTTTTTTATTCGCCCGCGCGCACTAGTTTGGGGGTCTTCAGAGGATGTCATCCATAATATTAAATCAGTGTGGCCTGAGTGAGGAGAAAAGGCCAATACGGTGTAGATTGAATATTGCATCTAATATGCTTTTGGTATTGTCTATAGACATCCCACCGCCAAAATAAATTCACCTGGTCTGTAACAAAAATAAAAAACATGCTCGAAATTGAGAATCAAATTTTGGGAAGAAATGTGTGTATTTTGT